TCATATTAATTTTAACATAGTTTTTTCTAGTTTTGTGAAAAATGTCATTGGTAGTTTGATAGAGATAGCATTGAATCTATAAATTGCTTTGAGCAGTATGGCCATTTTATTGATATTGATTCTTCCTATCCATGAGCATGGAATCTTTTTTCATTTGTTTGTCCATTCTCTGATTTCTTTGAGCAGTGTTTTGTAATTCTCATTGTAGAGATCTTTCACCTCTCCCCTGGTTAGCTGTTTTCTTAGGTTTTTTATTCTTTTTGTGACAATTGCGAATGGGATTGCCTTTGTAGATCTGGCTCTTGGTTTGGCTGTTGTTGGTGTATAGGAATGCTAGTGATTTTTGTTCATTGATTTTGTATCCCACAACTTTGCTGAAGTTGTTTATCAGTTGGAGATCAATGGAACAAAATAGAAAGCCAAGAAATAAGGCCACACATCTACGACCACCTGATCTTCAACAAAGCTGACAAAAATGAGCAATGGGTAAATAACTCCCAATTCAACAAACGATGCTGAGATAACTAGCTAGCCATATGCAGAAGATTGAAGCTAGACTCCTTTCTTAAACCATACACAAAAATCAACTCAAGATGGATTAAAGATTTAAATGTGAAACCCAAAATTATAAAAACTTTGGAAGACAACCTAGGCAATACCATCCTGGACATGGGAACAAACAAAGTTTCATGACAAAGATGCCAAAAGCAATCACAACAAAAACCAAAATTGACATGTGAGATCTAATTAAACCTACGAGCTTCTGCACAGCAAATGAAACTATCAACAGAGTAAACAGACAATATTTAGAATGGGAGAAAATTTTTGCAAACTATGCACCTGACAAAGTATCTTTGAGGAACTTAAACAAATTTAGAAGAGAAAAATAACCCCATTAAAAAGTAGGCAAACAACAGGGACACTTCTCAAAAGAAGACACACATGCAGTTAACTAGTATGAAAAAAGAGTTCAATATCACTGATCTTAGAGAAATGCAAATAAAAACTACAATGAGACACCATCTCATATCAGTCAGAATGATTATTAAAAAGTCAAAAAATAACAGACGCTGGTGAGGTTGCAGAGGAAAAAAAACACTTATACACTGTTGGTGGGAGTGTAATTTAGCTTAACCATATGGAAAGCACTACGGCAATTCCTCAGACAGCTAAAAGCAGAACTATCATTTGACCCAGCAATTCCATCACTTGGTGTATACCTAGAGGAATATAAATCATTCTACCTTGAGGACACATGATGCAAATGTTCATTGGAGCACTATTCACAATAGCAAAGACATGTAATCAACCTAAATGCCTATCAATGACAGGTCAGATGAAGAAAATGTGGTACATATACACTATGGAATACTATGCAGTCATAAAAAAAATGATCATGTCTTTTGTAGGAACATGGATGGAACTGGAGGCTATTATCCTTAGCAAACTAATGCAGGAACAGAAAACCAAATACCACATGTTCTCACTTATAAGTGGGAGCTAAATGATAAGAACACATAGACACACAGAGGAGGAACAAGAGATGCTGGGGCCTGCTTGAGGATGGAGGGTGAGAGGAGTGAAGGGAGCAGAAAACGTAACTATTGGGTACTGGGTTTAATACCTGGGTGATGAAACAATATGTAAACCAACGCTTGTACAGGTGGATCGCGAGGTCAGGAGTTCAAGACCAGCCTGGCCAAGGTGGTGAAAACCCATCTCCACTAAAAATACAAAAAAATTAGCCAGGTATGGTGGTGGGCGCCTGTAATCCTAGGTACTCAGGAGTCTGAGGCAGAGAATTGTTTGAACCTGGGAGGCGGAGGTTGCAGTGAGCTGAGATCATGCCACTACACTCCAGCGTGGGCAATAGAATGAGACTCTGTCTCCAAAAATAAAAATAAAAAATAAAAAACCAACTCCTCTAATCCCAGTCATTGGGAGGCCAAGGGGGGTGAACCACCTGAGGTCAGGAATTTGAGACCAGCCTGGGCAACATGGTAAAACCCCATCTTTTCTAAAAATACAAAAAATTAGTCAAGTGTGGTGGCATACACCTATAATCCCAGCTACTTGAGATTGGGAGGCCAAGGCGGCAGGAGAATCGCTTGAACCTGGGAGGCGGAGGTCGCAGTGAGCCAAGATCATGTCACTGCACTCCAGCCTGGGCAACAGAACGAGAATCCATGTCGAAAAAAAGAAGAAAAAATAGCTTGTTTCCCAGTGAAACTCTTTTTTTGATGAATAAAATAGTGTTTGAGTGACTCAGAAGCGTAAAGAGCTTCTCCTTCATACACTTCGTGCATTGCTTCTGGGAAGGCTTTTTACTTCTGAAGAATGTTTTTTAGTATTACAGAGTTATACTCTTCTTTATAAGCCATGGTTTCTTAATATAAACATCTTTGGATGGTCTTCATGTGTTCCAAAGTTGTATATTTGCTCCAGTATGGTATAAGCAATTTTAACGCCAACAACTGGTGTTTACCATGAGAGTGTGGATGAATGTTCTTGCTTAAAGAAAAGAAGAGCCCAGTGGTAACCCAGTCACATAGTCACATATTCCATTCTATAACCAAAAGTGTCTTATAAATATTTCCATTGAAATTCAGTTCTAATATGGGGCTTATTGAACCTAAAACATCTGAATTATCATATCTGATTCATTACTTAGTTATGAAAGCCCAGAAGGTTAATGAAGTATCAAAATTATGTACGTATGTGTTTTGTTTTGTTTTATTTTGTTAAGACGGAGTCTCTGTCTGTTGCCCAAACTTCCCACATTCAAGTGATTCTCCTGCCTCAGCCTCCTGAGTAGCTGGAACTACAGGTGTGCGCCTCCACACCCAGCCAATTTTTGTATTTTCAGTAGAGACAGGGTTTTTCCATGTTGGTCATGGTGGTCTTGAACTTCTGACCTCAGGTGATTCGCCTGCCTTGGCTTCCCAAAGTACTGGGATTACAGGCATGAACCTCTGCGCCCAGCCCATATGTGGTTTTAATTAAGTGCACTTTGTTCAGTGCTTCCTTGGAGAAATTAATAGATACTACAAAATGGAGATAAGGGCCTTTATCCTACACTGTCATAATTATTACATGTTATATAAATTCTTTCAGATTAAAGTAGACAGGAGGTAGGTTTACAAACTAAATAAATTCTGAATATTTATCTTTATAATAATGGTTTTCTTCTCGTTTCTGGAAATACATATTGGTTGATTTTTCTTTTTTCTTTTTCTTTCTTTTTTGAGATGGAGTCTTGCTCTGTCACCCAGGCTGGAGTGCAGTGGCACGATCTCGGCTCACTGCAAGCTCCACCTCCTGGGTTCACGCCATTCTCCCGCCTCAGCCTCCCGAGTAGCTGGGACTACAGGAGCCCGCCACCACACCCGGCTAATTTTTTGTATTTTTAGTAAAGACAGGGTTTCACCGTGTTAGCCAGGATGGTCTTGATCTCCCGACCTCGTGATCCGCCCGCCTCGGCCTCCCGAAGTGCTGAGATTACAGGCGTGAGCCACCTTTCCTGGCCTTGATTTTTCAATTAACTCATAATGTTTCCTCTAATTTTAATATTTTTTTAAACTGAGAGTGTCATTTACAGCAACATGAATGGAACTGGAGGCCATTATGTTAAATGAAAGTGCTAAGTGAAGGCAGATACAGAAAAACAAATGTGGCATGTTCTTACTCATACGTAGGAACTAAAAAAGTTAATCTCATGGATATAGAAAGTAGAATAATAATAGATACTGGAGGCTGGGAAGGGCGTGCCTGTGGGTGGGAGGGGTTGGTTAATGGGTACAAACGTACAGTTAGTGAGAAGGGATACATTCTAATGTTCAATGGCAGAGCAGCATGGTCATAGTTAGCATATTGTATATTCAAAGTTATATATTTCAAAGTTGCTAGAAAAGAGGACTTGAAATGTTCCCAACACACCCCAAATACCCAAACTTGATCATTATACAGTATATGCATAGAACAAAATAAACATGTACTCCATAAATGTATACAAATACTAGTATCAATAAAAACTGCTTTGTCCACCATATTTAATCTCCTAATAATTTGTGCAATTGTTTATTACCATCATCATTATTGAACATTTTTTATATAATTGGATAGTCCTGGTTAGTGATAAGAGTGGTAACCATACAACCAAAAGGAGGAGTTTAGGCATCCATCCCTCATTTATTATCAACATTTTGTTTTAGGACTTTCTCCTTAGTTCAGCTGAAAACCAGGTTCTTGGCACATGGCGATGAGAGATCAGGCTCACAGACACTTCGAAGGGTGAGAAAAATGGAATTTCTTGGGCAAAAAGAAAAAAAGGGGAAACGGGACTCTCAGCAGAGCGAGAGTGCTGCTAGGATAGACTTCCCACCTAGCAGACTGAATTCTAGGTTCCACCCTGGAACAGGAGAGGCCAGGCCTCTCTCCTCCCATGCAAACGGCACAAACTTCTTGAGGTCCCAACCCAGTGCGCACTCCTCCCAATGCACAGGCCAGTTGGAGTTTTTCCGGGGACCCCTTTACACTTAGCTGTCTCAATTTCATTATTCAGGGTTCCTTTTATCTACTAAAGACACTATGGTAAGCCATTTTTAAATGCCACGTTTAAATGTGCTAGGTTAATAGCGGGAGTAGAGAGGGTGTTTGGAATTACCAAACAGACACAGAAAGCATTAACCTTTAAAAGCTTTTATTTATGTATAATATCTTCTATAATCAATACACTCCACCTGAATCACTTAAAATATATTCTATTACCCTTTTTATGCTGTTTCCTAGAACTTGGCTAGAATTATAATTTTATATTTGAGTGGGATATAAATGCTAAATGTTTTGAAATAAAGCCTTACAACCTGAGTATTAAAAAATGTAGGAATAATTATGAGTCTAACATCCCTAGGAACAAAATATACTTACATCAATATGCAAATTATCTCTTTATAATAATCTGCATAATGAAGAACATTATAATTTTTCTTAGTTTCACACAGCCGTTAACAAACCATCTGTATGCCTAATATTGATGCTGTCTTTCCCTAGTGTATTGGGCAATCTAAGACAGGGAAATAAAGATAAGATTTGGATTGAAGAGTGAGGTAAGATTTAACATTATTAGACAGACAAATCATACATATAACCGTGAATTAAATACAACGCTTGCTTGTGGATTGTTGAGCATCAATTCTTCAAAACAGTGTCTGCTCATTTAATAAGAATTTATATTCTATTATGAAAGTTCTCGATCTCAGTTTTAGGTTTCCTGTCTTATGAACTTTTTAATCCTATTTTAAAACAACTTTACTGAGGCTTATTTTATGTACAGTCAGTCACGTGCCTCGTAGTGACTTTTCAGTCAAAGATGGACCACATATTCGAAGGTAGTCCCATAAGATTATACTGCATTTTTACTATACCTTTCCTGCTGTTTAGCTATTTCTTCTGTTTTGGTTCGCAAACACTACTGTGTTACTATTGCCTACAGTATTCAGTACAGTAACATGCTTTGCAGGTTTGTAGCCTAAGAGCAATAAGCCATATGCCATCTAGCCTAGGTGTGTGTGTAGCAGGCTGACCATCTAGGCTTGTGTAAGTACACTCTATGTCGGCACAGTCACTCAATTGCATACTGATGCATTTCTCAGAATCCACACCCTTCATTAAACAACACATAACTGTACAACAAATACATCCATTCTAAGTATGCAGTTCAATGAGTTTTTACATATGTATGGACTCATGTAACCGCCCCCTCAATCATGAAATAAAATATCTCCATCATGCCAAAATGTTTTCTCCTGCTTCTTTGCAGTCTTGTCCCAGGCAACCATTGATCTTAAAGGAGATCAGACAGACACTCTTCTGTGTCTTTGTCTTTTTTCCCTTTAGTATGATTTTGAGATTCATCCACATTGTTAGCTGTATCAGTGGTTTGTTCCTTTTAACTAAATAGGATCCCATTATATGAATAAACCATCATTTCTTTATTAATTCACCTGTTGATGGACATTTTGATTGTTCCGAGTTTTTGGCAATTATGAATAAAGACGCTATGAACGTTCATATACAAATTATTGTCTGAGTGTGTGTTTCAGTTTACCTTGGGTAAATACCTAGGAAGGAAATTGTTGGATCACATGGTAAGTGTGTGTTTAACTGTAAAACAAAACATAACAAAAACAGCACATTGTTTTCCAAAATGGTTGTAGCATTTTGTTCCCACTGCCAATATGAGGGCATTCCAGTTCCTCCATATCTTAACCAACTTTTGGAACCATTAGACTTCTTAATTTTAGCCATTCTGGCAGTTTATAGCAAGCTTGTCCAACCCACCACCCAGGATGCATTTCAATGCGGCCCAACACAAATTCATAAACTTTCTTAAAATATTATGAGATTTCTTTGCAATTTTTTTTAGCTCATCAGTTATCATTAGTGTTAGTGTATTTTATGTGTGGCCCAAGACAATTCTTCTTCTTCCAATGTGGCCCAAGAAAGCCAAAAAATTAGACACCCCTGGTGTGTAGTAAGATATCATTGTAGTTTAAATTTGAATTTCCTTGATGGCTACAGATGTTGAACATCTTTTATGTCATTATTGGCCATTTTATATTTTCTTTTGTGAAGTGTCTGTCTTTCCTGAACACAGGCCTTTTAACAGATTTATATATATCAAAAGTATTTCCTTTACTTAAGTGGTTTGACTTTTCTTTAACAGTTTACTTTAAAGGGCATATATTTTTAGTTATTTCCAAAGTCTAATTTTATGTATACATGTTTTTTTTATTTCATGGCTTGTGCTTCTTCTGTCAAAATATTTGGTTGTGAAACAGACAAAAAGTTTTTCCTATGTTTGCTTCCAAAAGTTGTACAGATTTGCACATACATACATGTCTATACTTAATTTTGAGTTAATTTTCATGAATGATGTGGAGTACATTCTTTTCTAAAATGCTTTTTTTCCCCATCCCTATCTCTTTTTTCTCTTTCTGAGACTCCAGTTATACATCTGTTACAATGCTTTATATCTTTTCATAGGTCACAGACACTCTGTTCATTTTTGTTTCTTTAGATTTTCTTTTACCTAACCTTCAGTTTGAATAGAGTTTCAATAGTTTTTATTGTTTTGTTTTCTTTTTTTTTTTCTTTCTTTCTTTCTTTCTTTCTTTCTTTCTTTCTTTCTTTCTTTCTTTTTTTTTTTTTTTTTTTTTGAGACAGGCCCTCTCTCTGTTGCCCAGGCAGGAGTGCAGTAGTGTGATCTTGGCTCATTGCAGCCTCAGCCTCCTGAGGCTCAGGTGATCCTCCCACCTCAACCTCCCAAGTAGCTGGGACCACAGGTATGCACCACCACGCCTGGTTAATTTTTGTATTTCTAGTAGAGATGGGGTTTCACCATGTTGTCCAAGCTGGTCTAGAACTCCTGGCCTCAAGTGATTTGCCTACCTTGGCCTCCCAAAGTGCTGAGATTACAGGTGTGAGCCACTTACTGGTTTGTTTTCAAGTTCATAGTTCTTTTCTTCCACAGCTACTAATCTGCTTTAAGTCTGACAGTGATTTTCTTCATTTTATTGTATATTTTAGCCCTAGTAGTTCCATTTGTTTACTTTTCTGTCTTCTGTTTCTGTTCTCAAGATGTTCATATTTTCTTTTAAATCCTTTGCTCTATTTTTGATTTTTAAATAGCTACTTTAAGGCTCTTTTTTTCTAATTTCGTGTTATTGATAAACAATTTTATTACTGATAAATTTTCTCCTGGGCGTGGGTCATAAATTGATGCATTTTTGCATAGTTAGCAATTTGTGAGTGGATGCTAGACACAGCGTGTGTTACATTGTTGAGCACTTGCATTTTGTTTTCTTCCTTTAGTGTTGAAGTTTATTTTGGCAAGCAGATACATTACTTCTACTTTTGCATAATATTTTTCACGATTGTTTTGAAATATTGTTAAGATGGGTCTAGAGTAGTCTTTCTGTAATCCTAGTTTAGCCTTACTACTAAGACAAGACTTTCTGTGATCTCTACTGAATGCCCTAAATGTTCAATGATACTTTTTACTGCCTGGTTAGAATTCAAACACCTCCCAGCACTATTGACCTCTGGGATTATTTTTTTTTTTAGCTTAAAGCTCTCCGGCAGTTGTTCTTTTTCTGGCCTTATGAAATTTGACCCTAAGCATGCCTAAATTAGTATTTAACTAATGAATTAAAGATTCTGAAATTCTTTGTCTGTGTAGGTCACACCTCCCAGTACTCTGCCCTGAAAATTCTAGCAGCCTCAGCCTCCCCAAATTTCATTCTCCTGTCATCAATTTATACCATCCTGCTCTATTTGGGGTTCTCTCCCTGAATCATAGTCTAAAAATTGCCTCCAAAACGAAAACTTGACAATTTTATGACCTACCTCCTTAGCCACCATTCTTTCAGGGATCGTAATTCTAATCTGTCTATTCTCCAATTCCTGAAAACAATTGTAAAATATATATGTTCAGGTTCTTTTGCTATTTATAGTTAGAGGACAAGTTCCATACCAGCTATTTCAGTTGAAAGAAGAAGGCTGACTCTTATAATTTTATGGTCATAGTCATTTATTTTTACTTAATAAATGAGGATGGGTGCTCCATAAACACTCCTACTGTTTGCCGGACTCTTTATTTTGCAACTTTATTTGATTAGGCATGTATCAGATAAAGTATTTTTATCACCATATGTTCCTTTCTTCTTAATCTAGACCTATGAAAATCCTCAGTTTTCTACAGTTCTCCCGGAATTATGCATTTGTTTAGTCTAATAGTAGAACTCCTCTGTTAGGAAATGATATTCCTTTAGAGCAAATTTGTCCAGCACACAGCTCACAGGACAACTTTGAATGAGGCCCAACACAAGTTTGCAAACTTTCTTAAAACATTATGAGACTATTTTGCAATTTTTTAAGCTCATCAGCTATCATTAGTGTTAGTGTATTTTAAGCGTGGCCCAAGACAATTCTTCTTCCAACATGGCCCAGGGAAGCCAAAAGATTGGACACCCTTGCTTTAGAGGTAACAAAGTCCTAACAAATTAGGGGAGGAAAAAACAAAACTGTTACCTTAATATAAAGAAAAAATACATATAAAACTTTATACAATATACAAATAAAAGAATACTACCACAAGGGCTGAGGCTAGGATGCCAGCTGGGCGGAGTGGCACACGCCTGTAATCCTAGTACTTTGGGAGCCTTAGGTGAGAGGATCACTTGAGCCCATGAGTTTGAGACTAGCCTGGGCAACCTGGTGAAACCCCATTTCTTAAAAAAAAAAAAAAAAAAATACAAAAATTAGCTGTGCATGATGTTGAGAGCCTGTAGTCCCAGCTACTCAGGAGGCTGAGGTGAGAGGATCACCCGAGTCTGGGGAGGTAGAGGCTGCAGTAAGCCGAGATTACACCACTGCACTCTAGCCTGGGTGATAGACTGAGACCCTTTTCCCCAAAAAATAAAATAAAATGCAATAAAATAAAGTAAGAAGAAAAAGAAAAAAGGATAGGATGTCTGTTATGCTATTTCTAGAAACAACAAAAATGAGTGATTTTACGTTTTTTGTGAGTTTTAGAGTCAACTCAATCCAAATAGGGATGTAAACCTACCATGACTGTTCTTGTCACTTGTTCTTCCTACCCTCAGCCCATTGTCTGTCCACTGAATAGCCCTGTTGAACCTCAGAATGACTCTTACCAGCCTTTCCCCTGCTCTACACTTCCAAGCCACTACAGTGATCCTCCTGTTTGTTCTTTGATTACTCTGGATTTTTCACTGTTATTACACTTGTCAAATTGTGTAGCAAACAGCTGTTTATTGACTTGATTCCTCAACAGGATTGCAAACACTTAAAAGAAGGACTGGCCGGGCGTGGTGGCCCACACCTGTAATCCCAGAACTTTAGGAGACCGAGGTGGGAGGATCACCTGAGGTCAGGAGTTTGAGACCAACCTGGCCAACATGGTGAAATCTCATCTCTCCTAAAAATACAAAAAATAGCTGGGCATGGTGGCATGTGCCTGTAATCCCAGCTACTCAGAGGCTGAGGCAGGAGAACCACTTGAACTTGGGAGGTGGAGGTTGCA